CAAACCCCCTCCCAGTGACCCCAAACCCCATCCCAGTGACCCCAAACACCGTCCCAGTGACCCCAAGCCCCCTCCCAGTGACCCCAAACCCCCTCCCAGTGACCCCCAGCACGGGTGGGGGTGTCCTACCCCCCGGCAGCTTCTCCTTCTCGCCGGTGGAGAGCCCCAGCTGCTCGGCCAGCTCCTTCTGCATGGGCCCCAGCGTGTCCTTGTAGGGGCAGCGCGTGGTCCAGTGGTCGCCCTTGCAGATGCGGCAGGACACGATCTTCTGCCCCTTCAGCTTGTTCATGGGGTCCTCCTCCTCCTGGCAGTTCAGGTCCTGCGGGCACGGGGGGCACAGTGGGCACGGGGGAACCTCAGACAGGGACACCTGAGACCCCCCAAATATCTGGGACGGGGACACACCTGGGACAGGGACACACCTGAGACCCCCAAACATCTGGGACAAGGACACACCTGGGACGGGGACACACCTGGGACAAGGACACACCTGAGACCCCCAAACACCTGGGACAAGGACACACCTGGGACAGGGACACACCTGGGCACGGGGGGACCTGGGACAGGTTTGAGACCCCCAAACATCTGGGACAGGGACACACCTGGGGCTCCCTGACACCTCCCAGGGGACAGGGACACACCTGAGACCCCCAAACACCTGGGACAGGGACACACCTGAGACTCCCAAACATCTGGGACAGGGACACACCTGGGACAGGGACACACCTGGGGCTCCCTGACACCTCCCAGGGCACAGGGACACACCTGAGCCCCCCCACACCTGTACAGGGACACACCTGAGCCCCCCCTGACGCCCCCTCACCTCCTTGCTGGTGATGAAGGTCATGAAGACGTCGTCGCTCACGGTGGTCGTGGCCACGTTGGGCCCGGGGGCGTCGAACTCCGAGTTCCCGAACTTCTTCCAGTTCTGGGAGCGGGAAAGGCACCGGAACATCCCGGGAAACCCGGCGGGGAAAGGTTTGGGGAGGGGGATGGAAGGGGAGAAGGTTGTGGGTGGAAATCCCTCCACATTCCCAAGGGAATCCCCTTTCCAAATGGAATCACGTTCCCAAGGAAATCACTCACATTCCCAAGGGAATCCATTCCCACTGGAATCCCCCCCATTCCCACGGGAATTCTCTCACCTTCCGACGGGCCACGGCCTTGGAGGCCTTTCTGGTCTCGATGCGGAAGGTCCGGATGATCTGGGAAAACAGGCAAAAACAGGGATTGGGGCCAGGGGGAGGGGCGGGAGGGGCACCTGAGCCCACCTGAGCCGTGGCCTCACCTTGACCTTGCGTCCATCCTCCTCCTCCCGATATTCCGTGATGGTTTTGATGTTCCCGTTGATCAGCTCCTTGGGGGACGGGAGGGGCCCTGCAGAGACAGGTGAGACCCCCCAGGGGTGTGTGGGAATTCAGGGGGGTCCAGGGCCAGGTGAGACCCCCCCAGGTGTGACCCAGGCCCAGGTGAGACCCCCCAGGGGTGGCCCAGGCCCAGGTGAGACCCCCCAGGGGTGGCCCAGCTCTCACCTCCCTTGAGCAGCTCGGCCTCGGCGCTGGAGGGGCCCCCCAGGACCCCGGGCAGGGGGAGGTCCTTGAGCAGCTCACTCGTGATGCATTTGTCTGGGGGGGACAGGTAAATGCTCACCTGGGCACAGGTAACACCCACCTGGGCACAGGTGCCACCCCGGGCAGGTGACAGCCCCGCCAGGTGCCCCAGGTGTGACTGACTCACCATCCTCTCCTCCCTCCTCCTCCACCTGGTCGGCCCAGCTGGGCTTGGAGCTGCCGGGAGGGGAAAAACCACCTCAGATCCCCCCTGTCACCCCCGAGGGTCCCTGTCGCTGTGACCCCCTCCTCAGACCCCTCTGTCACTGTCACCCCATTCCTCAAACCCCCCTGTCACTGTGACCCCCCCTCAGACCCCCCTGTCACTGTCACCCCCCCTCAAACCCCCC